TAATTCATTTTAATATCAGTATCTTTGAAATCTTCATCTAATTCATCTTCATGAATATCTGTACATATTAATAATTTACTTTTTAATAAACCCAATAGAACTTGTAATAATAATTCAGATTTAATTTGTGTTTCATCTTGAAGTCGTTCAACTGTCCAAGTCAATACTTTATTAAATAATAATAAAATTACCATTTGATAAGTTGATACCTTTGAAATAAGAAAATTTCTTTTTTTTTTGTTTTCTCGATAATTATTTATTTATTTATTTTTTACTTGTAATATATATTTTTGTGATGTAAAAAATGTTTGTAATTCACCTTTTGAATGTTGATGAAGCCATGTTAATTTTCGACCATTATGTCGATGAGTATAAAATTCTGTAAAACTATCAAATGTTGATTTTAACTAAAATAATAATAAATTCATTTCATTATTAAGAACAAAAAAATAATAAAAACAATAAATCAGACTTCAATTGGTATAATAAAATTAGATGAACCAGAAAATGGCCATGAATTTGAACTAAGTACCATTACAGAAAAATCAACTAAAAAATAATTAAATAAATTTTTTTTGTTTTATTCATAGTTTCTTTTTTTTTGTTTCTACCTGTATCAGTTATGTGATGATTTTGACAATATTTTTCATATTCAAATATTAATGTTTTACTTACACCAATATCTTGAAACATTCGTTGTAATTTTGATGTATACTCAAAACCGCATGCTTGCTGAAAATACAAGTTATTAGTGCAATCTCTACGGAATTAAAATGTACAACATGATGTAGCTGTCAAGCATAGGATGATTATTTTGGAATACATCTTTTATATATCGAGGATGTCTTGTAGGGTCTAGGATTAAAATATTTTGCAGGTTGAATGTTCTTTGACCGAGTTATAGAACTTTCAAAAAAATTGATTTTTTCAGCTATTTTAATGTTAGCGGAAAAAGTAGTTCTTACTGAGTCGTCTACTCTTATAAAATGTTTGGACAAAAAATTTTGTCTATGAAAATTCATTCCTTGGATTCGCCTTTATGGAATGATATATTTTCCTTTTTGTTGTCCTAAAGTTGGAGGCTTGAAAAGGTTTCTGAAGGTTACGATTTGCTCCCGTCTTTCAGTACAATCAATCACTACTATAAATAACGTAGTTGACAAAATGCTTCATTACTAAAATATTTCTTTTTTGATTTTTTCTGGATGTTTTACTGGTTTTGGCTCACTTTAGTTTTTAGGATCGTGTATACTGTCTCTTAGATCGAGCTGTAAGTGTAATAAGTTGGAACCAGTAAAAAAAAATTCAGAAAATATTGAAAAAAGAAATAACTCAATCATGAAGGCATTTGTCATTAGGTCATATGTAATGATGGTTGATTATATTGAAAGACGTAGTGTTTTTCGAAGCAAATCGCAATCAATGATATATAATACTAAAATCAAGTACTTAAGCCATCCTTATAATTAGCATTGATTTGAGAATAAACAAGCTCAACATACAAAAAAAAAAATGATGGGGAAGGAGGAAAGACTTTTGCCTAGAGGTGCACTTCCTCAACGCAGCCTTCAATTGCCTCGAAATTTCGAGATAATATATCCGGTAGAGATAGGTACTTCTACAAACAAAGGTTTCATTGAAAACTAATGAAGTTAAAAAAAATCCAGTAAATTCAATGTGATATTGAATGAAATATTTACTTTTAATTTTGATATCATTGATTCTTCATAATCATCTGAAGCACTTAATTGACCAACTAAACGTTTTGCTAACATTTTTCCATAGAATTTTTGATAAACATCTTTATCTTCAATATAATTAAAAACAATCTAAAATATTTATAGATTTATTTAATTCGAAAGAACTCTTTTTCAAATAAAATACTACCATAATTTGATTGAATTTTTCTTCAAGATCAGTTTCTTCAACAGCCTTAGTTCTATAAAAAAAAACAAAAGAATAATCAATCAAATTTTAATATTTGAAAAATTTCATTGTTTTTTTTTTGTTTTTTTGAACAAACCCTTTTCGAAGTAATGCATCACAATATCGAGCTAATAATTCAGGTGATTTAGTTGTACTACCAGCTGCTTGTGTTACTACATTATTATTTATAAATTTACCACAAGCCTAAAAAATTATTATTAAATAAACAAATTTCAAATGAAATTATTTTTACTTTATCAAGAGCAGCAGTAAAACCTTGTTCACCATTAAAAGCTTCTTGTACAAGTTTTAAGAATTTCTTATGAATATCAATAATTGTTTCAATATAAACTTTTGGATCCTATTTACAAAAAAATAAAAAACAACAATGAATATAAATCATAGATGATTATTCTGTTAATATTTTGTGAATATCTTTCACTTTTCAAAGCTTTAATCCGAACAGTTCTCTACAAAATTGAATACAAAGAACTTCACTAAAGAATAATTAGAAAACCATATCTGAGTAATAGGTACTATATTCTTAGAAAGCCACCGCCGCTGACATCCATACAATTGAATATTTTTCATCAATCGAATTTCTTATTCTCGAAAGAATACTTCAATTTTAAACTTAGCAGCTGCCACTGCCGAAGGTTTTATACATATCAACCGGTGTCGCCACCGTTCGATCCTTTGGCTTACATCTCTAGCTGAAACAAATGAAAAGCTCTATTAATTTGAGTAAACACATTTTTCTAGCATATTATAGAAATATTTTATTTGTCACTCTTTATTTGCATTTTAAGAATCTTCCATAGAGGATTCATTAAAATTTCGATTTCATTAAGTCAAGAAGAGAGTTAGCCACAACTCACGGCGCAACACCGCAGAAGCTCAATACGACGGCGCCTCAAGTCTTACCTCGAGTATGGTTACACGCGAAGTGACGTAATGAGGTACCACAGATCCCAGTGGGATCGGTTTTTGATTTAAATTAAAAACAAAATTCTTAAGAAATGTCGCAAAATATGAGCTTGCAGTTTCTTTCATTAGTGCAATAATTTAATCCTCTATGAGAGTTACATCATCCTGTTTCTCGTTTCTTAGTGATTTTTGTCGATGATTCAATGTAAACATATTGTTGAGAAAATATTTAACTAGATGAGTCACCTATGGATTGGCTGCGCCAACGTTCGAAAAGTCATGGATCGACTTTCTTAGGCTCAGTCAATTCGAACCGCTGTGAATTAGTTAGGAGTAGAGTCCATCGGGTCCGGGTCCAAAAATTCTTGAACCCGATGGGCTCTACTTAGGAGGCTAGTGAGTGCAGACAGAGCGTATTGAATTACTTCATTACTGAAGTTGCCAAGGTTGCGCCGCGACCTGTATAGTTCATTTTACAAAAACACCGTGTTTGAAAGTACATTTTTTTTTAAATATAGTATCGGTGATCGGATATCGTTTTCTAGGTGACATTGAAAAATGAGCTTTTTTTGATTAATTAAGCAAGACATAATATGAATATCAGGTTGCTTAGTTTAATATGAAAACATGTATGTAAATATACGACATCTTATGGTGTTGATGATACGCTGGTATTTAAATGAGCTCGATTCAATTTGTCATGTCATGTTTATCTCCCGATGCCTTAGTTTTCTAATTTTTTTTTTTTTTTGAAAAATTCATTTGATTGAATTTTGTAGAAACTATCTTATGAGAAAAAGTTTATTCTTTATTGTTCATTTATTAAAATAAAACTTACATTAATTGCTGTTCCACTAACACGTTCAATAGTATGTATACCCATTTCATAAATATGATTTTCAACGATTTTTTTCAATTCATTAGTTGCATTCGTTATTCGATTAACTAATTTGAAGAGAAGTGCTAAATCTATTATAAAGAAATTTTATATTATTGAAAATTTTTTTTATATTATTATAAATTTTTTTAACCTTGATATCTTTCATCACGAAGAAGTGTTTTTGCTTCTGTATAAATAACATCAAGTTGATCACGAATAAGAACTTCTTCAACTTTTTTAATTAATAATGATAATGTTGATGGATGTAAATATGATTGTACTCGATGTACTTCTTCATCAAGACGTTGTGCAACCTTTTTTTTTTTTTTTGTTTTTTAAAATAATTATTTATTCATTATAATTTAATAGCAATATTAACATACTTTTTTAAGATATTCTGTAACAGAATTATGAACAAGAAATGTTGCTGCTTCTAATCGATAGAATTGTTCTGTATCTTGTAAAAATTGTATTTCAAAATATTCTTTATATATTGTTAATGTTGGTGATGTCATTTGATTATTATTTGTTGCATCTTCAGTAAAACCAAGTGCAACTAAAAAACAAAACAAAAAAAAATATATTCAATAAATAATTATGAGACAACAACAACAAAACAATTAATTATTTTATTTTACCATAACTTTGAATAACACCACTAATTAAACGAGTATTTATAATTTCATTATGTCGTTCTGATTTAATTAAATCAAGACAAGCATGTGTAACTTGTTTATGTAATGGTTGAAAAACAACTTTTTGCCAAATATCCATAGCCATCTAGATTACAAATATATATCAAAATTTTTAATTAAGAATAATAAGAATTATTTACAGTATATATATCATAAATATCTTTTCGTCCAGAATTAAATTCTCTTTGTACCCAATGTCGATTAATATATGAACAAAAATCATTCATTACTTTACTAGAAAATTGATATTTTTCCCAACGATTTGTATAAAAACGAAGAACATCTTCGCCTTGTAAATCAATTCCACTCTAAAAATTTAATAAATTCAAAATTAATTAGAGAAAATTCTTTTTTCAAACAATTGTATTTTCTTTAATAGTATTAGTCATTTGTATTGAATTACATTTTGTTTTTTGGTCAGAGTTCTTTATAAAAAAACAGAAATTAAAATCATAAGAAGGATAAGGTTAAGACGTATTAAATCTTTATTAACAATAACTAATAATCTTGAAATTTATTATTTGCTCGAACTGTCGGACTTTGATTATGAGTAAAGCTAAATCAAACTAACAAAATCCGACAAAGTATTCGGATTTATGCATTATTCAGTCAGAGTTACGATCATTAAATCCTTCCTGTAATAGAAGACCTTCGATCTTCAATTATGTCTAAGTGCACAAAGTTTCAAGAGAATTTTCAATTCAAAACCCTGAAAAATGAGTATATTTTTATATAAATACATTAATTAAAGCTCTAATTCTTCAAAACACTAATCAATTACGAGAGTCTTCTATATGTTTTTTCTTAAGATATCAAATGTCTATGATTTGCCTTGTAATAAATAAACATTCACTAGATATTCAATATCTCAAGAAGGATACATATGTTAGCGGTGAAATTTCTAGGATATTCTCTATTGTCAACATTTCCGATGATAATCTCGCCATTGAGCTTTCTACGAATAGCTAGGACAGACGTCGATAACCTACTATACTAGAATGATAATTGTTCTAACGGAATAATGAATGAATTCGAACAGCAGTCGATAGTTGAATACATTCTCTATGTACATAAGTTCAATGATATCAATTAATATAACTTATTGTACATGAAAATAGAGAAAACAAAAGCCTATTTTTATTTCAAGTACATATTTGAACACAAGTACAACACAAATAATGAAGTATATTTAAGTTGCCCTTGAACATCTTTTATCTGTATGATAGACAATTACATAATCTATTCATACCAATAAATTTCTTTAAAGTATACCTCGATAATGACATTGTTTAATATATACATAAGATATTCAAAAAAGTAAAAGTAATAAGAAATACTACTATAACATTCCCATGGTACAGGAATTTATGATGTAAAATAATATATATTGTAGATTTAAAATTCGAATAGTATTATCTAATATTTTTAAATGTTATGTCATTTATCTAGTAATAATCTCTTATTAATATATATGAAATGTTCAAGGACATTTGCTGATGTAGTTTCAGTCAAATATCAGAAAAATGTGATTTTTTTTTTACTAGTTATAGTACGTATATAATGCTAATGATCTATTATTGTTTGAGCTTTATATCTTACTATGAATGAGAGTTGCCAAATATTTTCTTATCATCATTTTGTTAAAGATAGTTTGTATCTAATTTGTGAACATACATTGATCCTCACTAAGAAATGTGAATCAACATGAAATATCAGTAAGAAAATTTTATTATCAAGTAATTAATAACAAAGTATAACTTATTAAGGTTATTTATTTATGAATGAGATATTTATTCAAGTTCATATTATATAGAGCAGAAACAACTTGCCCCGATTTTTTTAAAAATATCTTATGAAAATCATGAATACCTACTCTGTAAACATTGACAAAAATAGCATAGGTTTTGAGTCGTTGATTAATCCTTTCAATAGCCGCTCTTGCATTATTAATATTACGATTGAAGTCTGTATTTATCAAAATGATCATAAGAAAATATTTAGCAACTCTCGTTCATAATAAGACGTAGAACTCAAACAATAACAACAGATCATTAGCATTATATACGTACTATAACTAGTAAAAAAATCATACTTTTCTGATATCTAGCTGAAACTACATCAGCAAATAAAAATCGAGGGTTCAGGTCGGCTGATCACGTCTATATATATATTTGACCTTATGATCAAAAATATAAATAACAAAAATTTTGTTCAATTATCTAACTTAAACAATGTGTTCTACATAGTGTTAACAAGAAAATTTGATTTATTTTTTTTTTTAATTCCTTACTTGACAAACATCTTTTAAATAATCTTTTAAATAATTTTTCAATTTATTATATAATTCTCCTCCAACAATATTTGCACCATCTTGTCCAGTTGATCTTTGTAAACCTCCTATTTGTCCTCTCGTATTAGGTAGAGTTGTTCGTGGTTGACTTGGATTACTTATACAATAATCATAGACATGACTAAAAATTAAAATAATAAAACAGGAAAAAAACCCCTAATAATAAAAATTCTAAATTTTTGATTTTACGTATAAAGTAACATATAAGCTGGTTTTTTCATTGCTTGAAATTGATAAACATGATTAATACCATCTAATAATTTTGCCCAAACTTCATCTAATTTAACATGCCGATTTGTATGTGACATCCTTGTCACTTGAATAAGAAATAAAAAATAATCAGCTGGTTTTTTTTTTCTCCTTCTTCTTCATGAACGCAATAAATAAATAGAGGATTGATGAAAATAATTCTATTGGATATAGATATCAACCAATAAAAATATTCTATTTGATGAAAAAAAAAAAGAAGAAATTTTTATTTGTCTAAATGAGTCTTGTCTTGTACAGTTCTTCTTCGGAATCTGATAATAATGATGATGATGATAATCAACGAAATAATATAAAACGTTTTAAACCACAATTACCACCTGTTAATATTCAACTTGAAAATGAAATTGATTTATTTGAAAAAAATTTTCAAATTAAAAATAATGATCGAACAAGATTATTTCCTCATGAAAGAGGAAATTGGTCTTTAACAATTTATGCATATGGTAAAATTTTTTAGTTTGATTATAAAATAAAGAAACTTATCTTTGTTTTTTTTTTTTTTTTTTTGTCTAAGTTGAATGTTCATCTCATTTGGATACAATGATTGATGATTTAATTGAAATATTTAATAATGAAAATGAAAATTGGAAACGTTTAATAGAATTACATATTAGTTTATCAAAAACATTTCCTATTCGTTTTCATCATATTGAATCTATACGAAAAGGTTTACAATATGAATTATCAATATCAATGATTAAGTAAATAAATAGAAATGAAAAATTTAGAAAGAAAAAAATTTTTTTGATTAGATTTTCAACTCGAATTGAAAATGTAACAATATTAAATAATGAAGATGAATCAACGTAAGATAAGAAAAATAAAATTTTATTTTATTTTATTTTTTTTTTTTGTATGATAGATCATTTTTAGTATTTACACTTGATCAAGATCGACAATTTTCTAAATTAGTAGAAATTATTGATAAAATACTTCATGAACATCGATATCCATGTTATTATGAAGTAAATAATGAATATAAAGAGAATATAATTATAAAAAATTTTTTTTTCTTTCTAATTTCATAGAATCCATGTTTTCATATTAGTTTTGCTTATTCAATCGATAAAAATCGACAAGAAAAATTACCAAGTGATTGGAAAGATAAATGTCTAGTAAGATAAATAAAAATTTTCTATCTTATTTCACAAAATTAAGTAAAAATATTACAAATAATAATATATAGCCATAAAAAAAAAAACCTATCTAAACAATGTGACATATAATTTTATAAAACAAGTTACACATAAGATAGAGAAAAGCAAGCAGAAGCGAAGCAAAGAGAACAGAACAGAACGATATGCATGTCTTCTGGGACCACTCGGTGTAACATTGAAATACGACCTTTCAACTTTGTACATATATTCTATAGATACGACCAATAAATTGTTTGAGTTACTGTGTATGACGCTGCACGAGGAAAAGGAATAGAACCTCGTCCGTTCCGGTTCTGAATCGGAGACGTACTCCACTCGACCAGAGCTTCCAGAAGTTAATCGCTTTTGAGTCAGGACTACATACTTTATGTAGATCAAAATGATCTATAAATATCCTCTGAGTTTTTTTTTGAGAGGTATCACTACATTTAGTTTAAAAAACTATCATAAAAATGCAGTATCTTCGCAGTGATAAGCTAAGAGTTCGAACTCTTCTCAGTGTATCCAAAGTTGATTAGGGTCTGCATCATGCTCATCGTTCCGACTTAAAAGCGATTAATCAGTTAGAAAATTCTTCTGTGTGACTGAAGTTGAAATAATTAACATCAGCACGACTAGCAGAGACGGAAGATAATGTTAACGTATAATGCAAAAGTAATGACATAAAATGTTGATTCCTATTTCTGTTCGATAAGTAGGTTCTGAAAAGAATATTTCCTGTCAACTGATAAAAAATAGTTATTGTGAAGTACACGAAAAGTGCAGAACTATTTTTAGCGTGTCTCTATTTCTTTTTATGCCATTCTGTTTATAAGTGCCTGATAAAAATAAGTTATATGAGATGTGGATGTACAATATTAAATGAATCTTCAATTTCTAAAATTATGATTTTGTCTTATTTCTAAATTTTGAAAATGTCAAAGAAATCTTTATTTTTTTTTAGTCTATTTTAAAACAATATCAATGTCAACCAAGTGCAACAACAATAATAATTGATGATATTCGTTTAAAAGCAGGCAAACGTATTTATCAATTGACTAAAACATCATAAAAACAAAACAAAAAATTTCTTTTTACTCTCGTATATATAAATCTAAGAAAAATGAAACCAAAACTTGTTATTTTATTTCAGATATAATGGCTTTCAGATTTGGTATTCCAAATATTGCATTTCGTAAACGAATGTCATGGTTTGATTTTACTCTTGCTTGTATAATAGGTGTTATAGGTGGTATTTATACATTTAAACCAGGTCTTAAAGAAGCAAAAGATGTTCTTGAAAGACGTGAAGCATTAAAAGAAATTCAAGCTAGAAGACAAGCTGAAGCTGAAAAACGTATGTTTGTCGTTTTGTTTTTTGTTCAATTCTAATTTCATTTTAATTATTATTTCTATTTTTAGAACTTAAATTACAAACAATAAAATAATAATTTTGTTATTTATTTTTTGATCTGTTTGTCCCTTCTTGGTTTTTTTAAAATAGTGTTTGTGTTTTGTAGATTAATAAAATAATGACCATAGAAAATCATTCACCACCTATTATTAATCAACGAAAACCAGAAAGTGTAAAACAAAAACCAAATCAAACAGCATGGTTATCAACATTTAAACGTATGTTAAAGGTGTCAAATACACGTTATGCCTTTTTATGGTTAACAGGTGGAATACTTTTTGCTTTATTTATGAAACCAGGTATACGACGACGTGATCAAGAATTAGTGATTAAAGATATTGAAAATTATTTAGAAAATAAAACAAAAAAACAAGATTCAACATAGGAAAATTTATTTCTTTTTTTTTTTTTTTGTTTGTTTTTTGTTTCATATATATATATATAAATTTATTATGTCATCATCGGATAAAGCAATTCTAAGTCAATTTCAACTTGAAAATGGTTCTTTACTTGGTGGACCTGTTGAAATTCCATTAACAATAAATATTCGTCAATTAAATAGTGTTGCTAATGGATTAGTACAAGCACAACAAACATTAACAAATAATGAATTAATTCCATATTCATTTTATGTAGATGATATTGAAATAAAAGAATCATTAGAAAAATATTTTCAAGATCAAATAAATAAACAAATATTTGAAAAAATTTTAAATATTATTTGTGTACCAAAAGCAAGATTTCAAGTTATACCTGTTGAAAGATGTACAGCAACAATTGAAGGACATCTTGAAGCTATAACAGTTTTACAATTTAGTCCAAATGGAAAATTTTTAGCATCAGGTAGTGGTGATACAACTGTAAGATTTTGGGATTTAAATACACAAACACCATTTGATGAATATGGAAAAGAACATAAACATTGGATATTATGTTTAAGTTGGGCACCAAATGGTAAAATTCTTGCATCATCATGTAAACAAGGACTTATTGGTTTATGGATTGGTGCAACTGGTAAACAACATGGTAAAGATAAGTTTTTGTTTTTGAGCTATGTGATAGATCTATTGTAATGATGAATTTTCTTGCTTTCGAAAACAAAAAAAACTTTAGCGTTTTAATTATATTTAATAACAATTATATATGAGAGAAATCTTTCTACTCCGATACGACTGCAGGTGGTACTTAACATGATATATAGAAATGTCAGATATTATTCATAAAAATGTCTTCTTGCTTGTGAGATTCATTAGACAGATCAAAACTCATCATATCGCTACCCTAACTTAGAAAGAAATGCAATGATTCACAGAAACAAAAACACTCGCTTTGCTGTATTCACATATAAAGGTCATATATGGTGTCTGTTTTGCATTATATTTCTTTATGTGTGCTTCTATTGCTTTGTATATGGTAAGAAAAATATATGATGGTAATGTTTGGTTGTATATGATGCAACATAGATGTTTTTATCATATTCACTGCTCTTGTTTTTCTATGATATATAGTTGTCCGGAATGTCCGTACAATTCATATTCTATGAAACAGTATGATAACAAGTGCTGTATTTATTCAATGTTTCTATTTTTGTGATCGTTGGCAACGTGTGATTGCTAACGAAGGTCATTACACTGAATAAATACAGTACTTGTTATTGTACAGTTTCATAGAACATGAGTTGTACAAATTTTCCAAACGACCACATACTTAGGGCATTGGTCACGGCATTTTAAATTTTATAAAACACGTAGCATCAAAGGTTTCATTGCATGAATACATAATAAAATGCTTCGTCTATAATACTTAAGGCTAAGCGAAAGTTCTAATAACATCAAATAAAAAGAGAGGGATATTTCTAGTTTTATTTTATTAAATACTCAAAATAGTATGTAGGTGAGATTAGCACAAGATTCGAGTAAATCCAGTTAAGATTCATCTAGGAACATGTTCCAGAGTTATTATCCTTGTTGCAAGTACAACTCGACAAGCTCTATCCAGTGGAATAATCATATTTTTCAAAGCCCAAATTCTTCGTTTGCTTGATCAGTCAAAGAGTTCTTGATATTAAGTCACATGACGAAAGATCTAGTGAATATGGTGGATGTGCATGAGACCGATCATTATCATGAAGCAATTCTATAGATTTTGTGCGTGATGATTTTTCTTGTTTCCGTATTTCATTGATAATAGGCTTGAGACAATTTTCAATATAATAGTTGTGATTGATAGTGTTGCCTTTATGTACACTTTGTATAAGAACAAGATCAGTTGATTTAAAGAATAAATCTCTCACTCTATATATACTATTGACATGTAATATTCTAGGAACATGACGTGAGAAATGAAAAATGCGGTAAGTTCTAGAATATATAAAAACCATTAGACAAGGGATAGTCATATACTCGCATAGTCATTACATTATAGATGAGACATTTTATTATGTATTCATGTAATAAAACCTTCAATACGAAGTATTTTATAAAATTTAGAGTGTCGCGATCAAAACTTTTGATATGCCCGAAGTATCAAAAATGAAAAAAAGAACTAATGATAATCACTTATTTTTATCCATGTTCTCTAAGGGCAAGACGACTATGACATGATGTCATGACATTCGGATCCTCGATGAAATAATATTTCTTGAATTTATTATACGTCATGTGAAGATACGAATTGTATAAGACAGATATTAAAGATTTTTATCTATTTGAACTTTGCACTTTCAAGGTTCCCTAAAAAAGAAAAAAGATGAAAATTAAGATATGTAAATGCATGGAAAGATAGCCCGAGATCTGATCTTTTATTTGATATCTCGTCTATTTTAAAAATTTTAGATGATTTCTGTCATTTTCTGCTTGAAAGATATGCTTGTTCTTTTAAACACGTAACCTCGAATTCTTTATGAACTTTCATTCTATATATAGTTTGAAAAAGCATGTCAAGATGCAGGACATGACGGAGTTCCTTTTTTGGAACTAAGCTTCATTGAGACAAAAAGAAAACTACATAGAATGAATGCCCACAGCAAATTTCGGATTGTCAAATGAGTTATTTTTGACGCTTGTATATTAATTACCTCCTGAAAACTTCATGTAATTTGAATGTACCTGATCGAAAATCGATTTTTGAGGAGAACGGTATGAAAATGATAACTTGGAAAAAAAATACAAAATTCAGCTACTTTTATCATAAAAATCTCATTAACGCAGCCTTCTTTGGAACTGAAATATGAAACTTATATAAATTGTTTAGCCACATTAAACTCATAGAAAATATGTCAAGTGAAAATTCTCTTAGAGTATTGTTATTTTATTTTAACTAGAATTTTTTTTTTCTTTGAACATATTCAATTTTCTATAGGTACTAAATTACTATCCGGTCATCGACAATGGATTAATTCTTTAAGTTGGCAACCATTACATTTAAATGGTTCCTGTCGTTTATTAGCATCTGGTAGTAAAGATACAACTATTAAAATTTGGGATACACATTTATTTAAAACTGTTTTTACTCTAAGTGGTCATACAGCATCAGTAACATGTATTAAATGGGGTGGACAAAATTTACTTTATTCAGCATCACAAGATCGTACAATAAAAGTTTGGCGTACAACTGATGGTGTACTTTGTCGTACATTAGAAGGACATGCACATTGGGTAAATACACTTGCATTATCAACAGATTATGTTTTACGAACTGGTTTTTATGACCCATCAAAACAATCTACAATGAATGATAGTGATAATATTGATGATCTTACATTACAAACAATGGCACTTGAAAGATATGAAAATGTTTATAAATTATTTGATACAAATGGTGGTGAAAGACTTGTATCAGGTTCAGATGATTTTACACTTTATTTATGGAAACCAGAAACAGATAAAAAACCATTAGCACGTATGACTGGTCATCAACAATTAATAAATGATGTTAAATTTTCACCTGATACTCGTCTTTTAGCATCAGCTAGTTTTGATAAATCAATTAAATTATGGTCAAGTCGTACTGGTACTTTTCTTGCAACATTACGTGGACATGTTCAAGCTGTTTATCAAATAGCATGGTCAGCTGATTCACGTTTACTTGTATCGGGTAGTGCTGATAGTACATTAAAAATTTGGAACATTGAAAAACGTTGTATTCTATTTGATTTACCCGGTCATGCTGATGAAATTTATGCAGTGGATTATAGTCCAGATGGACAAGTTGTTGCTAGTGGTGGAAAAGATAAAGTTTTGAAATTATGGAGAAGATAGAAACAAAAAAAAAAAGAAGACATAATATGAAATATTATAAAAATATATAAAATACCTTGTTTTTTGTTTTTTTTTCAGATATTTATTTGCGTAATAAGTAATATGATATTTTATTCGATGATAGGACAGGTATGCTTCATAATTGTTTTGCTTCAGTAATTTTTTTTACTCGAAATCGTACGAAAAGTACAAAGAATCGATATAGAAATTTTCTTTCTTCCATACTCGACATTTTTCTTTCTCTAAGTGTATTCATTTATCTTGATCATGTGCATATGCAAATGAATATCATTCGCTTTCTATTATAGAAAGATAAAATAACTTTTTTAATCTCTAAACATCGTTTGTTTTTTCAATCTAATTTATTGTTTTTTTTTGTCTTTAATTAGACAACATTTTCTAATGATATTTACTAATTTATTTTGTTAATAATAATTATTATTTTATAAACGATGAAATTTGCCGAGCATTTATCAGCACATGTTACACCAGAATGGACTAGTCAATATATTCGATATGATGATATGAAAGAATTACTTGCACAAGCTGTGGCTAAAGCACAACCATTTGTTGATGATAGTGATAATGTTTTACGTGAACAATTTTTTCTACGTGTTGATGAACATTTTTTTCAGGTAGAAAATTTTGAATAAATTATTGTTTGTATATATATATATATTTTGTTTTTATTTGCTATATAGTATTGTGAAAAAGAAGCAACGAAAATCAATACTTTTTTTGCAGAAAAACTTGCTGAGTAAGTCAAACATAATCTTCTTTTCAATGTTATATATAAAATTTATGATTTTTGATATACAGTACAAGAAAAAGAAACATTATATACGTATTTCTTTCAGAGCAATACGACGATGGGAAACTTTACAAAATGAAGTTGATCATTTGGAATCATCTCGTCGTCATGCATCACGTCGTTCTGAAGTATCAACAACTAATACAGTAGCTGTTAATGAACAAAATGATGATACAAAATCAACAAAAAAAAATCGTCGTTCAGTTCATTCAGAAGAACGAACAATAGTTGCACCATTAGCACGTGTTTTACCAGAACGTTTAGTTGAAAAAACACGTGAAAAACAAACAAAACGTGTACAATATCGAAAACGTAATGATTTAAAATTAGCATTTAGTGAATTTTATTTAATGCTTGTGTTATTACAAAATTATCAAACACTTAATTTTACTGGTTTTCGTAAAATATTAAAAAAACATGATAAATTATTTCAAACTATACGTGGTGAAGAATGGCGGTAAGTTAATTACACAGTAATGATCTAAAATTATTTTATCGCAAAAAAGAAACTGAATATCTTTTTATTACGACTCGAGCAAATATGCTGATTTTCTTTTTTATCAATAATAAAGACAAGATTAGTGAGAATCTTTTCCTTAAGTAAGTATCACTATTGACTTCAATAAAAGTAGTTTATCCTTCTCACAGATAGGAAAAAATAATATACGATGAAGCATAGTCAATTTATCATGACTAAATGTAAATATATTCTCTGACATTTCTTATTCTTTTTCTTATCAAATACATATCATGATTCTTTATTAATGTCAAAGAAAGAATACTAGCATGCAATGATCATTAGATTTGTTTATATTCTTCGAAAATAAATGAATAATACTTTAATGTAATTATTCATATTTTTATGTTTATACACATCTGACAATGATTAGCAATTAGAACGACATATTATTTGACATAATACCATGTTATCATTGACCGATACAAATTCTTTTTTAATTAAAAACTTTAGATGGTTTATATCACGAAGACTTTGTGTATGGATACGATCTTTTTGTGATTCTCCATAATGAGAAGTCATAAAACTTTAAATAATAAGAATGTGATGATCACTCAATAGCTCCTCGATATATGTATTCTAAAAAGAAATCTTACATAACTTGTTTATAATGTGCTCGTACACCATCTTGCTATCAGAGTATTGTTTGAAAAGTTGGATATTCTTGAAACTGCAGTATGATGTTATCCTTCAATATTCGAACGTTATTTTCGAAACATAATGGTCCGACAATACCGTTTGACCATATTCCTCTTTAGACAGTCATATATGATGCATTGAGCTTTTGTTCTATAATGAAGTGCGAATTTGTAACACCATTGTTTCTCTTAATACAACCGTTTGTTTGGAATGCGACATCGTCTCTCCATAGAATTTGATCCAATAGAGTTAGATATTTTTGAGTAAAATCTAAAATTCATTCACAAAAATTTCAGTCATCGATCCGGATCATCGTCGTTTAAGACCTGTAATAATCTTGCTTTATATATTTTTAAATTTAGATCTTTCATAAGACATTGTAACCTGATGCGTGATTATTAAGTTCATGTGACGCATATCTTTGAGATGTTTACGGATTTAGAAGGAAATTTTGAGAAACAAATTGAATATTTTCTTCTGTTTCGATTGTTGTTGTTGTAGGTCTAACACTTCGTGGTGTATCATTGTCAGAATCTATTTCATAAAACTTTCTTCCTAATTGATAAATTGTTTATTGAGTCGGTCTCGTAATATTGTTTTGTCTTCAATTTCAGCACCTACAAACATATGAACTCGAAACAAAGGATATAAACTGTATACAAGATAGAAAATGAAGTAACAGTATAGGAGAAAAATGATTTATATCATGTGAACTATGATAGAGTGAAAAAAGAAAATATATATGAATTAACGACATGTGGGTAGATAAAAGTTCATTTGATTATTTAAATTTCACCTTGATAAATTGGCTCTTCGTCATCGTATGTTGTTTCTTTATATCTGGGTAATCCCACCGTATATATAGCACATTTACATTGTGTTCCTCCAAATTGATTTTCATATTTCAAATCATGAAGAGCATAGTCGATTTCCTTACTATGATAACAAAAGCTCTGCTATAAATTGTAATGTTGAAGAGATCAGCAATTCACAAAATGAATGCGAAATATAGCTAATACTATAGAAAAGCTGTATAAATAATGCAAAAATGTCCATCATCATATATTGCTAACGTAGAATTTAGACACATAGTGATACAGTAGATTTTGTAGAGCAAAATTTGCTCTACACATCCATATATAACACTTTTTAGGAAGTACTAAATAAAGAACCATTTCCGCAGTAAACTATTTCCTAATTAAAAGTATATATGCTACTACATGATAAAATTTCCATGCTAAAAATAGCCCTTTTTTTAGTACTTCCTAAAAAGTGTTACATATCGGTGTGTAGAGCAAATTTTATTCTACAAACCTACTATATCACTATGTGTCTAAATTCTACGTTAGTAGTATATGATGATGGACACTTTTGCATTATTTATACTGCTTTTCTATAGTATTAGCTATATTTTGTATTAATTTTGTGAATTGCTGATCTCTTCAACATCACAATTTAGAGTGGATCTTTTGTTATCATAGTAAGGAAATCGACTATGCTCTTCATGATTTGAAATATGAAAATCAATTTGGAGGAACTCGATATAAATGTGTCACATATATAGTGGAATTACCCATCTATGAGAAAGTAAAATCCTTTTGTTGAAGTCAATAGTAATACTAAAAAAAAAAGTTCTATCTGTAATGCTGTCTTCATTATTCGTAAAAGAAAATTAGTCTGTCTGCTCGAGCTGCAACAGTGATATTCAATTTTTTTCGGTAAAGTGACTTTTATATGATCTTGTATAATCTAAAATTTAATATAAATTATTTGTTTTTTCTGTTTTTTTATTTAGAAAATTACATATTGATTCAGCTCCATTTCATACATCAAAACGGGTTGAGCAATTAATTAATGAAGTTGAAACAAAATATACTGAGACACTTGAATCAGGCGATCGATCACGTGCAATGAAACGTTTACGTGTACCACCATTAGAAGAAAAACAATCACCAGCAGTTACATTTCGTGTTGGAGTTTTTGTTGGTAAGATTAAAATTGGCTTTTTTTTTCTTTCATCTTCGAAAAATAAATTTTCTTTTTCTTTTAGGAATGATTTGTCTTTTAGTTCCAGCTGTTATTGTCCTTGGTACAAATCTACATGATAGTCAATCAACAAAACCACTTGCTTGGCGACAAGCATTATTTCTTTATCGTTCAACATTTCTTATTGTTCTTCATATAATTCTAGTCGGTATTAATGTATATGGTTGGTCATCATCGGGTGTTAATCATGTATTAATATTTGAAATTGATCCACGTAATCATTTAACTTATCAACAATTTTTGGAAATAGGTACTTTTCTTTTTGTTCTGTGGTTTTTAAGTTTTGTTGGATTTATCTTATCATCTTATTTCGATTTCTATCCATTTATACAACCACTTGGTTTCGTTACAACGATTCTTTTATTTTTATTTAATCCAACACATACACTTTATCATCATGCTCGATTTTGGTTTTTAAAAACTTTGGGTCGTGTTATTTGTGCACCATTTTATCGTGTTGGTTTTGCTGACTTTTGGCTTGCTGATCAATTAACATCACTTGAATTATTATTTTTTGATATTGAATATTTCTTTTGTTTTTATATTTATGATGTTGGCTGGTGGCCAATCTATTCAACATCTCCTACACGTGGTTTTTTTTGTTATAGTTGGCCACAAGTTGTTTTACAAACAATTCTTATGGTTTTACCATCATGGTTTCGTTTTGCTCAATGTTTAAGACGATATCGTGATACAAAACATAAATTTCCACATTTAGTTAATGCTGGTAAATATGCTAGTGGTTTTTTTGTTATTGGTACAAATGCAGCACGTCGTGCAACAGCTGTATATTATATTGATTATCCAACATCAAATCCATTTTTATATATATGGATAATAACAACATTTATTGGTGCAACATATAAATTAATATGGGATTTTAAAATGGATTGGGGATTCTTTGATAAAAATGCTGGTGAAAATAAATTTTTACGTGATCAAATTGTTTATCCATCAAAATTTTATTATTATGCAGCTATAATAGAAGATACAATATTTCGTTATATATGGATAATAAATGTATTTTTACAATTTCGTACACGTTCAGCTGAATATGCTGATGTTATTGGTTTTATATTTGGTTTAGTTGAAATATTTCGACGTTTTATATGGAATTATTTTCGTTTAGAAAATGAACATTTAAATAATTGTGGAGAATTTCGTGCTGTACGTGATATATCAATTGCACCAATATCAACAACAATTGATTATACAACATTAGAAGATATGATGGATAAAGAAAAAGGTATTAAAAATCGACGTCAATCAAAACGACATGATTTAATTGAAAAAATTAATAATCAAGATATACAAGAAGAAAAAATTAATAAAGAAACATTTATTATTAATTCATTACGAAAATTATCAACAGATTCAAATTCAAAAATAGAAGAATTAAATAAAAATTTTAATATCGAACCATCATCAACAATTCCTGATGAATCTTTAGACAAACGTATTTTTTTCTAAGATTTTTGTTTTCTCTCTTATTTCTATCAATTGATTGTATCTATTACGATACATTCCAAAAATTATGATTAATGTGCATTTGACACGTTCTAGTCATACTCCATCTGAATACAGCATGTATATGTCTATGTCATAAAATAAAATCTCACATATTTTTTTTTCATAAAAATATTACGTATATAAATAAATAAATATATATATATTTCATTTCTTCATATATTAAATAAAATTTTTTTCTTCAATTCATTAATAAAAAAATGAATTTTTTTGTTGTTGTTTTTTTACTTTTCAAGATGCTTGATCATATTGAATCAACCTATGTTGGTATAGGTTTTGCATTACGTATATTTCTTTTCTTTCAAACAAGAATACGAAATTATTTTGAAGAGAGTGGAGAATTTGTTACACCATTAAATTCATGGAAAAGAGGTAAATAAATATTATTTGAGAATTATATAATACTGAAGTTAATTATCAATTTTTAGTTATCGAAGGAATTTATTTACGTAAACTCAATCTTTCACCATTTGTTGGTTCGATTGTACATGAAGTATGTTAAATGTTTTAGACCAAAATTCGAATGATTTTATTTTCATTTTTACACATAGAGAACTGAATCACATTGTTTTAAAGATATTTCTTATTATAGAAACTTTAAATAAAGTATAGTTTGTATCAGAAATATGCATCGTTTGCTCTTGTCTATCTTCTTATATACCCAATGGATGGTAGTATCTTTATCATACCAGCTGTAAAACTCTATTGTTAGGATTTATTTTTACAAAAAAATGTATGTCAAACACTGAAATGGATTTAATTGTTGACAGTACTATGTTCAATTCTCAGTATCAATACCCATGGAATCATTCTGGATAATTTACTAACGACTGTTTATCTCGAATCAGGCGTCCGATAGTACGCTGACTACGTTGCGGCGTACAATTACTCTTGTGGATAGGTAGTATGTTTCGGAAGCTGAAGCAATTGAGCAATACATGTCTTATTTGTATACTCAAGTATAAAGATCGCTTCCTATTCTTTGATTCATTATCATGTGATTTTAAAAAGAATTACTCTAATTGATTTGAAGACTGAGACATTAGAGACTAATATTGTACGATTTCATAGTCGATGGCAGAGCTCCGCAGGATGTGAGACTAGTCTCGTCCTGCCTCAGGATGGAATGATAATGATATAAATTGAAAAAGAAAGTATAAATTCGCTGGATTTTTTGGGTCATTTCGCGGAGCTCTGATTGATGATATATAATAACAAATGCATAATTTTGATAATTTGTTTCTGTTGAACTTCACTGCAATGGTTTTTTTTTCTGTTCTTCTAATCTAATACTATTAACTTCGATGAATATTTTTTTATTATATTTAGACACCACTTTCACTTTTCTTCTATTCAAAATTACATGCAATAACAAATGGACATGTTGAAGGTTTATTTATCGTATGTTAATGTATTTCAAATATTAATTATTATATATATTTTTTTTTTTGTTATAATAGGCAGCTGATCTTCTAAGTGCTATACTTACTTATAAGATAGCACATCGAGTTTTAACACAACTTGTAAGTAAAATTTTCAATGTCATAATAAATTTTTGAAGTTTTGTTTTTTTTTGCAATAGTTCGATCAAGAAATTAAAGAAAAGTCAAAATATAAAAAGGATAGTGAATTATTATGGTTAACAGAGGCAAATATTCAAAAGAGTGCTTATGCTGTTTTACTTTGGTAAAATAATAATAAAAATTCTTTTTTTTTTTTGTTATTCAATCATTTGTATTAAAAATAGTTCAATGATAAATCCATTATCAATTGGTACATGTCTTGCTAAATCAAGTCTTGTTTTTCATAATTTATTACTTACAATGACATTTTATTTCTTTATAACATGTAAGATTAAATTTTTTTTAATTTCATTGATGAGGGTTTTTTTTTATTTAGATCAATTATTACCATTTATAATAACATTATGTTTGACTAGTTCAATATCACTCTATCCAATTATTTTAATTGCACCAGCTTTACTTCAATTTTCAAAAAATAATTCTGTATGTTATTTTAAAAAAACAAAAAAAAAAAAAAGATCAATATTATTGAATTTATTTAGAATAATCGATCAATAATTCGTATATGTCTTGTAATAATTTTATTTATTATTGTTAGTTTTGGTATACTTATATTAAATTTCTTTCTTAATCATCAATCATGGTCATTTATTGAATCAACATATAGTTTTATGTGAGTGTATTTGATGTATTTTTTTTTCGTTGTTAAATGTTTATTTTATATTTTATGAGATTAGTTTTCATGTACCAGATTATACACCAAATATTGGAATATTTTGGTATTTTTTTACTGAAATGTTTGATCATTTTCGTTCATTATTTGTTTGGACATTTCAAATGCATGTTCTTCTACTTTATTTACTTCCATTTACAATAAGATTAAGGTTATTTTTATTTTTGAATAATTTTAATTATTACTATCGGAATTTTAAAAGAAGGTACCTGGAAAAAAAGCTTATAACTTTCGAACGAAAAGTCATAGCGACCTGCGATTTTCAGCAATCGATAGAAGATTATAGGGGGCACATTTTTATATAAAAATCAAGGTTTAAATACTCAGTGATTATGCAATCACTGAGAGAGTAGGCTCGTTATTTTGTGAAACCTCAGCAGAACAAGCTGAAACTTTCAGTATATATAGTCCCACTGCACTCCAATCTTTGCTGAAAATATCATCGATAAATCTTGTAATGACGAGGAATGGTGAGCCAATCATCATCTGGTCTTACATAAGACTCTCATTCAATCAAAATATTAGGAAATGGCCTCAACTTTTGGCTGAATAAATACTATAATCTAGACTTCATATCTATGCAATAGCATCGCACTTTGATTGTAAAAATGTACGAAAATAGCCAAAATTCAACGAAGAAATGATTTTCATACAGTAAGTATTTTAAAACAAATCTTTTCAACTTTCTTAAGACAAATGCAGAATTTAGTAATATTTTCATCGTCTCTTCTTGTTCATTTAATCAAACTATGATATAATTGCATAGATACGAAGTCTAGATTATGGTATTTATTCAGCCAACAGTTGAGGCCATTTCCTAATATTTTGTGTGAATGAGAATCTTATGTAAGGCCAGATG